CCCCAAAAAAAAAAATCTCATCCCCATCAGAGCAACAAGGGTTGAGTCTGAGAGCTGACATGGAGCCGGTGCGATGCAATTTTTAGCAGTGGCATTATGCAACTCGGGCGAAGGGATGACTAATGTGCCAAAAGCTCCTCTAAAACAACCCAGCCCCGAACGGGAGACGGAGGGATTTCAGTGGGAGGCACCAAACTGTTGAAAACCCCATCGCATCTTCTCCCTCTTCCTCCCCGCCGCCTTCTGAACAAGTGATTTGGGGGATGCAGGAGGGGGAAAACAACATGTTGTTATTTTTAAGTGGGGTCTGGGGTGGTTTTGGGGGTGAGTTAGCAGGGGTTAATCCCTTGGATAAGATTACAAGAATTGCTGTAGTGGATCAGAAGAGCAGACCACGAAATAGCTCAGGGTTTGATCTCAAACACTGGCCAAAATTGGCTGCCTCGAGAATAGGATAAGAATAGAACAAGAATATACGATACTTCCCCCAAATATCCTCCCAGCCGCTTATCTATGTTTAGGGATCTGGCGAGGAGCGCACGTTCCAGCGAAGGCGAAAAGCAGCGGGAGAAAGCAAGGTTGGTTGATTTATTCTTGACGAACTGAATAAATCCATAGGAGTCCGGCTGCCTCTGCCCAAGTCCTAAAATGGCATTTAAAAAAAAAAAAAAAAAAAAAAAAAAACCGGGGGGGGAAAAAGAATATCAACTGGTGTGGTGTGCAGTGACTGTCAGGGGACAGTGAGCTTGCTGCCAGTATCCCAGCCTGGAAAGGAGAGCTTCCCATGGGATGAGCCGGGTCTGAGCTGCTGGCTTGCTCCCAGTGGGATGCTGTGATTGAGCAGGAGCGCACAGCAAAAGCCCTGTCTATACCATATATACGTGCCCCTCGCTTACGTACAGCGTGATGCCCGGCAGCGTGGTACCAAGGGGAGCTTTAGTGCCCCGTGCTCCTCATCCCGTCGTGGCTGCAGACGCACGCGATGCTCAACAGCGGGAATGGGATCAGAGACGCTGCGCAGCATCGGGCCGCCCTGATGTCGTTGGGGTCCTTGTGTCCATCTGTCCCTGTGTCTGTCTGCTGAGACCAGCAGCGCTTTGGGATGGGGATCAAACCGCTATAAAACCACCCGCACCCGGTGCAGAAAGCAGCCGTGCACGGAGCAAAAGCTGAGCGACCTCATCCTTAGCACCTAGATTTGAGGGAAGATTTCCCTCCCCATCAGCAGCTGCTTCTTCCTTCCCTTTTCCTCCTGGGAGACTCGGAGTCCAGTGCTGTGCGGCGCCTGCGCGGCCATCCCGGGTTGCATGCAAAGTATTAATTGTTCTTGTTGCAACAACTGCTCTGCTTCTCGGGAGATGCCTGAAAAGAGCTGAGAAAATAGAAAGGTCTGTCAGGCAGCCGGGCAGGAGGTTAAGATGTCAAGAGAGTAATTGCTCTACCCAGAAGCAGCCTGTTTTCTGGCTTCCCCAGCGCTGCCAGGAAAAATCCTCAGTGCTTATTTAATGACAATTAACAAAAAAAAAAAAAAAAAAAAAAAAGAAAAATAACCCCAGCCCTTGCCCATGCTGACGAGGAACAGGGAGAGCAGAGGCAGATGCAAAATAAGATGCAGTTGAGCTTATAAATAGGTGCCTCCCAGCTCCCAGTCTGTTACTTCGTTACCTCCGCCTGGGCAATCGATCCTCATGCTTTCCCCCCCATGAAAAGGTAAATGGAAGCTCAGAAAGTGTTTTGCCAACTGCTGGGGAGAGCACTCGCGTTCTTCCTCGTGTGGGACAGGCTGGGGCAGGGGCTATGTCCTGGTGGCTGTGAAAAAAAAATAAAAAATAAATTGTTGGGCTTTGGAGAGGGAGAAGGGAATCAGCCCGATGGCAGTACCGCCTCGGCACGAGGCTCAGGACCGGCTCTCCGGATCGTGCCGAGGATGCCCAAGGCGAGAGGCGGCTTGGCAGATGTGCAGCCCCCTCCCCAGGGCAGCATCCCTGGTCCTCGCAGTATGGGAGATGCAGGTGGCCGCTGGCTTTTGCTCCATCATCATGAAATCCATCCCTCCGCTCCCGTCTTCACGTGGTCCATGGAGATGGGCGTTGCGGGAGATGCAGATGTTGGCTGGGAGGTGTTTAACTCCAACATCTGGGGAGCGCGGTGGGGTGCTCTGCCCCACGGGGCACTGACAGCTCTTCAAACCCCTCCCGTTGCAGTGGTGAAAAGAAAAGGGACCTGAAAAGTGTCCTGGGGTGACTCGGGGAAGCCTTTGAGGGGTGGCCAAGGGGGGCTACGAGGAGCCATCCCTGCGGGAGTGTTTTGGCTTTTGGTGGTTTCTCTTTCAGCACCTCCTGAGCCTCTTGTCTGCCAACACATCTTCAATGGGGGGAAAAATAAAAAAAGAAAGCAAGCCCACTGGCAAACTGAAGCCGAGTTAGTGTAGGACCTACCCAAACATTGCGCTGGAGCAGCTGGAGGCTGGCAGCCCACGGAGACAGCGCTTAAGGGTGTTTTGGGGAGATGCTTGGGGGGCGGGGGGGGAAAGTGGGACTGTGGGGACTCACCATCCCTGGAAATTTGGGGATTTTGTGGGCTGGCTTGGGCTGTGCCAAGCCTCCTGCCTTGCCCAGGGAAGGGCTGGTGGGCATCTGCACCCCAAAAAAAAGGTGAAGGAAGGAGCCGTACGCCACGGAGGGGCGGGGAGGGGGGCGGCCCCCCGCTGGCGGTGGGGAGTGGAGCCGGTACCGATAAGCCAAGACTGGAGGGCAGTTTTCTTGTGGCGGCTTTGTCTCGGGGACAGCAATTCAACAACAACAACAAACAACAACAACAAATCTCGGCTGTTGTTATTTATTTTTAGTCGTGCTAATTTTTCCGAGGCTGAGAAGCTGCTTTCCAAGGCAGGTCCCTGGAGGGTGCGGGCAGCAGGTCTCGAGCTAGCACACAAAATGGCTTTGAATGGGGAGGAGGAGATGGGAGTTAAAAGCCAAGTCGTGGCCCTGGTAAATCAATCGACCTGACGAAGAATGTTTCTAGCAGGCCACGAGCCCTGCCGAGAGCTTTTAGTTGCTTGCAGGAATGATTGAACCAGGAGCGGTGATAATTTTCAGCAGCCGCCTCGTGCGGCGCCAGCGCCGGGCCC